AAATGAAAAAACAAAAAAGAAGAGAAGACGCTATTCAACGACTTAAAGCTAAAAAAGAAAAGAAGAAAGCACGTTTCAGAGATAAGGCACTTGCTAAACAAGGAAGATTTAATAAATTGGATGATAAAAAAATTACTAATGGTAAAGTTATGTTTGGAAAGAAGAAAACAGAAATGAGAAAACAAAAAGGTGGTAATCATAAGAAAGGAGGTAAGAGATAAGTGATTGATATTGATTTTTTTTTGTTTTTCTATTCTAATTAATTTACATTAAACAAACAATCTTCTTCATTATACCTTAGTTATAATTTATTTAATTTGTAACTTGCTTAATAATTATTTATTTTAGGTTGTGTGATTTCTAAAATACACTAGTAACAAGTTTTATTCTTTGTCAAATACTTTATAATAAAACTGGTATCCATAAAAAATGATATTTGGTTTTCTTCAAAAAACTTTAATTTACTTATTGAGTTTGTTTCAATCATACAAGTATTATAAAACCCCTAATACAACAATATATCTTTTTACTGGTACCAATTTAAATAAAAATATTAATATAATCTTTTTAATAGAGCAATTTAATAAAATAAAGGAAAAAAAACTGATAGGCATTTTAAATATATTAGCCAAACAAAAAATTTATATGATAGTGTAATTGTATAACTTTTTGAATTAATCTTTTTTGAATGATTTATAAAACTATTTTTGTATTTTATTTTGTTCCAACTATTGATGCTTTAAAAACTAAAGAATCATATAAGAGAAATATGAGATCTTCTTGATAAAGACAAACACATAATCAGATATTTCTAACGTCATTCTGTTCTTTTTATGAATATTTTCTTTTCGTATTGCTTACAATAAAATTCAAATATTATCTTTACCACTCAGTCAATTCAGTAAAACTACTTATAAGATTTGTTCTTATTGCTGTCACAAACACTCATTTTATATCATTCATATTTAATAAGTTATTTTACATTACAAGTGATGTTTGTTCAGTTTTTGTTGTTTGGTGTTTATAATTTTATTAAACTATTCTTTTCCTGTTTTTAAGAATGGGTTATACTACACAGGGAGATGATGTTGTGTGGACTATTCTATAAAAAAGAAGATAAGACAGAGTTAGTACCAACACATTTAAATTTAAGTGAATTGAAGATGTACTTTGTAGAAACAAGAGTAAGTTAACTCACACCCAAATGAATTGTTATAGTTGAAATAAAATCAAAAACACAATGACGACCACTAAAATAGATGGAACTATTTTTGAAGTTGTCTGTTTTTAATTTGTATGAGAGAAACTGTGTTGTTAATTCATTTGGGTGTTTAATTTTGTCTCAATTAAAAAATAAGGTCAGAAGCAATCAAAAAAGCAGTCTTAGAGTAAAAGAAAGAATAAATAAATAAATAAGAAGGCCCCGTAGCACAGTCGGTAGTGCATCGTACTTATAGAAAAGAGAAATGCGAGGGTCGCGGGTTCGATCCCCGCCGGGACCATTTTTCTTTAATCTAAAATAAAATTAAAACATCATTAACACTATAAAATTAGAAATGCCATTTAATAATTATCTGATAATTAACTATCTATATATTGAAATAGAATAAATCTTTGTATATTTCATTTTTATTGTTGTTTTGTTGACTAAATAATGAGTAAAAAGAAATTAATAATGAATGAACAATTTTAATAACTGTTGTAAATTAAATCAATGAAATAAAAAAATATTTAAATTATACGTTTATCATTAACTCATTTATCTGATAACATTCCATTACAATAAATAATAATTTATTTAAAGTTGATGTATTAAATTCTTAACAATCAAAAGATGAACTATTATCACATTTTATCATAACTTCTTTTTCTATCTTCTTCATTGTATCATTGATCAAATTTGTTCTAATGTAAGTGATGTCATTTATATTTCATTAGTTAGAATATTATGTTTTTTTTGTTTCATTTTTAAATTCAATAAATTTGATGATTTAATTACAAATTGTCATTAATGTGATTCATATAAACAATGTGTATTGATAAAATATTATAATAACTTTACTGTATTCTTATATCTATTTCAAATGATAAAAAAAAATGAATAATGATAAAAAGTATGAGAATTATACAAATTGAAAATATATTAATTATTTACAACAAGAAATCAAATTAATAGTAATGTAAGTTGGTTGATAAATGTTTGATTAATGTATAATCAATTCCATATTTTGTTAACCAACATAATGTTCATTTATGTACTGTCACTAAATTAAAAGATTATTGATTTATCAATGGATCAACAATGTTAATAAAAGTGTTTTGTTTAAATAGATTTGTATTCTCTTCTTTTTGATAGAATTACATGGTATTAGTGGTACTGTGAGAAATAATTACTTGTAATTAATATAACTCTTTGAATTATGTTAGCATGTTATTTCTAGCTGTTAGTCATAACTTTATTATTAGTAACAAAGTTAAATATCACCTCAATAATCATCAAATCTCTATATTATATTATAGAATCATTAATATTATTGTTATAATGACTAAACCTTTATTTAATTAAACAAAAGAATAATACTACTACTCACTTCATCCATACTACCTATTGATTAAGATATTTCATTAAATATCAATAAATTTTGAATATATTACTTAAGCATTCGTCTTATAACAACTCAAATCACAATAAGTATTTATTGAAATAAATGTTATTTAGTCTATTGAAACTATTACATACAATCTTCAAAAATAAAGGATAGAAACTATGTTAGTATAAAGAAACAATATTATTAAAGAAAACATAAAAATATAATATTTTTCAATGAGTGATTAAATAGATATTTAATTCAATAACTCAAAACCACTAAAAACATCATACTAAAGAAGAAGCACCAACAATATTATTAAAAACACTGTTTATCAATAAAACTCAAAAAAAAAAATAACTCACAAATTATGCTTTTAGTAATGAGATAAAGAATAAAAAAAAATATTAAACTAAACCAATAATAAAAATCAGTCAGTTAGAATGGTTCTTCTATTCTTCTTCTATAACAAGCTCCCCATTTTTGTCTTTGTTCTCTATCAACCTTTTTAGCTTCTTCTGTTTTAAACATTACAATATTTAAATAATCGTCAGTATAGTTATCTGGCATTCGTTCTAATAGTGGTGTGATCCAAACTTTGTGTATTCCAATCAAAAAGTTCTTTTACATCAGATGCTGTATACAACATTCCTTCTCCTGGTTTTAAAAGATAAACATACATAGCAGCAAAATGTGGGTTGATTATTCTTCTTCGTTTTACTGAATTCTTAAAATGAGGATCAGGAAATGTTATAAATATTTTCAATAATTGACCTTTAACAAAATAATTTGTCACATACTTCATACAATTACATTGAATAATCCAAACATTCATCAATTCATTCTTTTCTCTGGC